TAAGATTTGTGAGTCTCTAAAGTAGTGTTTTGCAGTTTTATTTGTACAGGTCTTTCACCTCTTTAGTTTACCAGTTCCTAGGTACTTGATTTTCTGAGAACCAATTGCAAATGGAATCACTTTTTTAATATATCTCTTCTATTCATTTTGTGTTGATGTTGTAACATGTCACTTTACTGTACAAATCAGTTGTTTCTAGGAGCTCTTTTTGTGGAGTCTTTCGGGTTTTCTAAATATAGTATCATGTCATCACCAATAGTGAAAGCTTGACTTCTTCATTTCCTATCTGTATGCCCTGAATATCTTTTTCTTGCCTAACTGCTATGGCAAGTGATTCCAATACTGTATTAAATGTAAGTGGTGAAAGTGGGAAACCTTATCTCATGCCTGATCTTAAGGGGAAGGATTTTAGTTTTTTCCCACTGATTATAATGTCTGCTGTAGGCTTGTGGTATATGGCTTTGAGAACATTGAGGAAAGTTCCTTCAATTTCCATTTTATTGAGAGTTTTTATCATGAATGAGTGTTGAATCTTGTCAAATGTTTTCTGTGTCTATTGATAGGATCATATCATTTTTATTTTTCCTTGTATTGATATGGTATATGACATTGTATTGATTTTACCTGTGTTAAACCACCTTGCATACCTGAGATGAATCCTACTTGGTGAGGGGGTGTGATTTTCTTATTATGAGTTGTTTGATTCAATTTGTTAGTATTTTATTGAGGATCTTTGTGTCTATGTTCATCAGGGATATTAAAAAAAGGTAAAGGCCCTCCCGTTGATCGTCGATTTGCTGTAGCGGACCCAGTAACGTCTCCATTGGAGACTTTGTTGTTACTGTATCTGGCATATCCAATACTCTCGGTAGCTTGCCGGGCTCTCCGAGAGGGGCGGAGGAATCGAACTCGGGTCGGCCATGTTGGCCGCTTGTAAGGCGAATGCCCTACCCGCTGTGCTATCGCTCCAGCCCATCAGGGATATTAGTCTGTACTGCTTTTTTGTAATGTCTCTGCTTTTGGTATTGAGTAATGTTGGCTTCGTAGAGATGGTTTGATGGTGTTTGTTTCTTTGACTTTCTGGAAGAGCCTAAAAGCACTGGCAGAAGTTATTCTTTAAAGATTTGGAAGAACTTAGTACTGAATCCATTTGGGCCTGAGTTTTTGCTTTTGAGAAAACTTTTGATTACCTTTTCAATTTCCTCAATAGTGATAAGTCTGCTCAGGTATTTCAGATCATCTTGGTTAAGCCTTGGGAATTCTTAGGAATCCAAGAATTTATTCATTTTTTTCTAGGTTCTCTCATTTCATGGCATACAGATTTTGAAAGTAATCTCTTATGATCCTTTGAATTTCTGTAGTATCTGTTATATGTCCTCTTTTATTTCTGATTCAGTTAATTAGAGTTTTCTCCTTTGAGTCTTGCTAGTGGTTTATCAATCTTGTTTATTATCTCAACTAGCACTTTGTTCCATTAATCCTTTGAATTTTTTTTTTGGATTCCAATTCATTAATATCTGCTCTAAGTTCTATTGTTTCCTTCCTCCGACCTGTTTTGGGCTCCTTTAGATGGTCATTTTCTGGTTTCTCACTGTGCTTTTAAGGTTATTTATGTGGGCCCTTCCTTCCTCCTTGATGAATGCTTGCATAGCTTAACACTTTCACATGTCACATAAATTGTAGTAGCTTATGTCCTTATTTTTTCCCTTATGTCCTTATGTCCTTATGTCACATAAATTCTAGTAGCTTATGCCCTTATTCTTTTTTTCCAGGAATATTTTGGCTACTTATCTGACCCACTTCTTTTTCAGTAGTGAGCAATTTAAATTCCAGGTGTTTGTTTCCCCGTTTCTGTTTGAGGTTAACTTTTATCTTCAGAGTGTTATGGTCTGAGGAGATAGTTGAGGTGATTTCTATATTTTAGGCTTTATGGAGGTATGTCTTGTGGTTTAGCACGTGTTCTACCATGGATAATGTCCTCTGTGTTTTAGAGAATGTGTATTCTACTTTGGGGGTATTAAAGGCCTATAAATATATATACATATATATATATACAAAGATCCTCTTTTCCATTTCTTCCTTCAAGTCTAGTATTTCCTTGCTGAGTTTTAATCTAGTTTATCTATCAAGTGGTGATAGAGCAGTGTGGAAATCTTCAACTATCATTGTGTGATGAATGTCTTCCTTCAAGTCTGTTATAAGTTGTTTTATGTATTTTGCTGGTCCCTCGCTAGGTGCATATATGTTTCGGAGTATGAGTTTTTCCTGTGCATTTATTTTAATCTAAAACTCTCGTATGTCTTCTTCCCTAACCACATGTCTTTCTTTCTTACTAAAGGCAAATGCTAGCACGAGTGCTCACAACTGATCACCCCTCCTTGGTGACCATTCACTGGTTTTATATCTTCAGTGCTTCTTTCTCCACTGCTTCCTTCATGTCTGTCCACAAACATCTTCTTCAACTTGCTACCCCAGCACATTCCCCACTCTATGTCCTCCAGTATCAATCCCCAAATTACATATACTTCACTTCTACTGTCAAACCCTATTGAAATTTAATTCCACTGGTTTAATGCTACTAAATAAAGTAGAATTTTGTTTTCTTCTTACAACCTAGCACTCTATGATCTTGAACTTATATATTTTCTGACTTACTTACTGTCTAACACACCTTCTTTGAGCTGCTTGGAAACACAGGTAATCTCTCTCTAATACAAAATAGGTAAGCATGTTTGAATGAATGTGTTTCCTAGGCCTTTATTCCCAAATAACTTATCACCATACACTTAGACCCACATATGAACAACATGTTTTGAAAGGAAAACATAGCTTAAAATACAGCCTCCTCATTAGTCCCCTACATGGCCACCCTATATGTCATCTCCAGTTCACCTTACCTCTTACCTACTACATAATTATCCTAAATCACAGCTCTCATCTTGTCACTTCTTCCAAATTCTTTGGTAATTACCCATTAAGTACAAAATTAGGCACACACAGTTTATCTAGGCATTGACTGCCTCTAACTCCACCCCTTTTTTAAAGTCCTCTTTTAGCTATTTTGAAATAGTTGTATAAATAGGTTTCAAAGATATATACAGAAACTCCAGTACCTTTCAATGTTAACATCTTGCACATGGCCGACCCGGGTTCAATTCCCAGCATCCCATATGGTCCCATGAGAACCGCCAAGAGTAATTCTTGAGTGCATGAACCAGGAGCAATCCCTGTGCAGGAGTAATGCTGGGTGTGACCTAAAAATAAAAAAAAAAAATTTAAAAAAACATTGCAGACATCTTACCTTAGTGGCTTTGTGCTTGGGGGGCATATGTGATACTGGGAGTAAAATTGAGGTCATCCACATGCAAGGCAAATGCCCTATTCAAGGAGCTAACTCTGATTCCATGTATACCCACAAATATTCACTATACTTTGAAATGTTATCTATTTTAAATTACCAAATAGACTTAAGACTATCCCTAGACTTATTTTTCCCTACAAATCCATATGTCCATTTATATACCAGTCCTTAAAAGTTTAATTATCATAAGTATGTTTTGTGATCCCTCCCTCTGGTACCTTGAAAAAGTTTGACGCTGCTTATAAATCCTCTATTCCAGATGACTTTTAAAAATCAATGTATTATATCCCACTTTTATTGGAATTTTATTGGTATTGACTGAGATTTCTTATTAAAAAGAATAAGAAACTTTATTTCTTATTTGCATGGGCATTTGCATGGCTTCAAAATTTGTGTGTGTGTGTGTGTGTGTGTATACATACAAGAGCCTTGCAAGCTACCGAGAGTATCTCACCCGCACGGCAAAGCCTGGCAAGCTACCCGTGATGTATTTGATATGCCAAACACAGTAACAAGTTTCACAATGGAGACATTACTGGGCCCGTTCGAGTAAATCGATGAACAATGGGAGGACAGTGCTACACACACACACACACACACACACACACACACACATATATATATATATATATATATATATATATATTCAATACCTACTATGATGTCTGCAGGAAAGTCAAAGGATTTTAGACAATATTGACGCTACAGAAATGTATAGCCTAACAGAGGAGGGAAGACTGGGAAAAGAGATATGTAGTACATTAAATCACTAATCAACAGAACTAAATTTATGGTTCACTCATGGACTTACACCATAGGTACTATATTGCTTATCTCTACCTTTTGTTTTTAAGTGTGTTGTTTTCTCAGATTTTTTTCTTTTTTAGAAACCTGACATGTGGTGTCTATATATACATGGCTGACTTTTTTTTTCTTTTACAGACACCAAAAAAACGTTTTTCACATAATCCCAATTTGCAGATGACAAAAAAACGAAGATCATTTTTAAGATCAAGCACGTTGGGCTGAAGCACATGCTTTGCATGTGGATCCCATCCCAGTTCTATCCCCACATCTCATGCCCTCCCCCACCCCCACTGGGCATGCATGTCCCCCGTTCCCCACCCCTCCAAAAGAGGTGAAGTTCCTATCCCAAGATGACAATTAGCAAACAGGTGCAAGTCAGCTCAGGTCTTAAAAAACCCTGGTTCTCTTCCTTGGTCAAATGCAAACACCACCCCGGAAATGAAGTCAGGGCACCACCGAATGCTCCCCCGACTGATGTGCGCACGCAGGCCAGCGAGGACAGGGCAGCAGGTAGGGCGCTTGCCCTGCACCTTGGCCCCAAGTGGCCCTGATTTGCTCTGCGGCACAGCATAGGGTGCCCCAACCCCTGCGGAAATGACCTCTGTGCACAGAGCCAGGAGAACGCGATTTGCACCCTACCAGCTGTGATCCAATAACATCGATTCATAATACCATTATAATGAAAACGAAGACAGAGCAGCAGCCGGGGGGGGGGGGGGGCCGAGGGGGCCGAGCCCCCCCCCCCCGGATGGAGACAGGCCGAGCATCTCTCTCTTTCTCTCTCTCTCTCTCTCTCTCGTCTCTAACCCCCTCCTCTTCTCTGGCTCCACAGATTCGCAGCCCGGCTCGGATGAGGAAGGCTGCTCCGAAGTCTTCCTTCCCACCGACAGCGACTACGACTCCAGCGACGCGCTGAGCCCCCGCGACCTGGACCTGCTCTACCTGTCGTCGCAGGACATCGCGCAGCAGGCACGGAGCGGCCTCAGCGGCAGCGCCCCCGACGTGCTGCAGGTGCACGACATGAAGCCGCCGTTGTCGCCGTCGCCGTCGGGGCCGCCGGGCCAGGAGCGTCAGGCCCGGGTGCAGGGGCTGGAGCCCGACCCCTCCTGCGCCGAGTTCCTCCACGGCCTGACGCTCAGCGGCGGCGGCGGCGGCGGCTTCCCGCCCAAGAACCACGTCCAGGCGGCGCCGGGCGCGCGGCCGCCCCTGGGCTTCCTGGGGAAGCGGAAGCCCCCGACCAAGCACCACCAGCACTACGGGGGCTTCAGCCGCCACCACCGCTGGCTGCGCATGCACAGCGAGACGCAGTCGCTCTCGCTCTCCGAGGGCGTCTACACGCAGCATCTCTCCAGCGCCCGCGGCCTGGCCCCAGGCGGCGGCGCCGGACACCTGGAGCGTGGGGGGCCTTCTCCAGATGGGCCCCGGGGTCTGCCTCTGGCCCACTCCACGAGCCTCCCGGAGGAGCGGAGGAGCCACCTGCGGGACCCGAGGCCCTCGGTGCACCGGATCTACGTGGAGCCCTACTCCGAGGAGATGGAGGACACCAAGGCCTGGGTGGGCTTGAGCCCAGCCCCTGCGGGCCGCACTGGCCTGCCCAGCCCCACCAGCTCCGAGAGGAGCCCTGATGGCTCCACCACTCCCGTGTCAGACATCCTCAGCAGCATGCTCTAGGGCGGCTCTCAGCCCTGGTCCACCTCTGTTCCACTTCAAAGCCTGAATTTTCTCGTATCTTTGCCCCTGCCTGCCCGCTCTCTCCTACTGTATTCCCATGCATTTCCCAGCGGCTTGAATGTTAAAGTTGCAAGTGACAGGTTGTAGGCCCTCTTTCTTATGTCAGAATGTCAGTGGGCACCAAGAGTTGCCAGGGTCCTAAAAGAGTAGATAGGAGCTTTGCTACCTGGAGTCCCTAAACACAAAGGATCAAACATACCCAGCTGTCCATGGCCCCTGTGGCTGAGTAGAGCAGTCCAAAGAACCACCCTCCATTCTAGAGCTGGCCCTATAATCTGACCTCTGCGTTTAGGGCTCTGTCATCAATTTGTGGTTGATGGGGTGGGAAATTATTTAGATAAAAATTTGATTAGAACAGATTTGTCTCCACTTGAAACCTTGAAACCTTTAGAGGATTTTGTCGGGGAAGAGTCCCAAACTGTATTTCAAGGGTCCAGCGACAGATGGACCTGTCCAGATTTCCTTGGAAGCTGCCAAATCATTCCAAAGTGCAGAGTTCCCATCCTCTTTGGACAGGCCTTTTCTTCAACTCGTGGTGTGTGCAAACAACCAGAAATAAAGGTAGGGGAGCTTCTAGTTCCATCTTGAAAAGACAAAAGAGGGTAGGAAGCATCTCTACTTGCAAACTCGGCTCCAATTCAAGCATGAAAAGGGGCCATAAAGTATTCCAGGGTATAGGGAGATAGCTGAACTGCATGAAATTCTGCAAGATAGATAAAGCAAGGGGAAAGAAAGTGACAGTAGCAAAAGGTATTTGTTTTTCAGTCCTAAAATAAGTAAATCTATGGCACCCGGTCTTTTGAAATGATGGGTTGCTTAAGTAATAGAATTGTCATTGAATATGAAAATTCACTTCAAACTAGCAATGACAGCTGGACTCTTTATTGCTAAATAAACAAGATCAATTTAGTCCACATCACAGGCTATGGGACAGATTGTTCTGGACTTGGGTGGCTGCCTTCCCCAGTCAACCCATCTCTCCCAAACTCAGTCTTATCCCCACATCTGCTGGCCTCTTCCTTAAGAAGGCCCCACCAGTGATTCCCAAACTATCCTCAAAGACTCATGAAAATCCTTCCTTGGGCTCATGGCCTCCCACCTGCCTTTCTCACAAACAAGAAAGCCAAATCAAAGAAAAAAATCGCACTGTATATTCAAAAAAGGGCATGAGTCTTCTCTAATTTCCTGGAACCAAAACTCATTCAGTTCATTGATATTCTAAATAGTCCTTTCTTGCTTCACAGGCGTTTCAGTTAAATATTACTGTTTATGGTCCTTCCCCTGTCCTCAACAGTTCTACCGTTCCTCCTCATGGGAGTTCATACAAAGTCTCCTGTTCACAATGTTATTCCGATCCTTTCCATTTTTAAAACATTTGATTTAAACATAAATAATTACCCTGGCAGAAAGGTAGATTTGGCCCATGGCCTATGGTCATTAGAAAAGTAAAGCCCAGAGCTCAGTCTTTAAGAGATTTTATACTCAATGAACCCCTCAAAGGCGCTTGATCAGAATTATTGCAGCTCCTTTTCCATTTAACATGCTGTTTTCCTCTGTTCTGAGTGAATTCTTCACATATGAAGGGACCATAAAATGAGTCTAAGTCATTGCGTTTACAGAGGCAATTAGGCACAGAGAGGTTAAGTGATTTGCTCAAGGTCACAGAGCTAGTTTAAGTCCTAGAATTAGCTTCAGAATCCATAACCATTTCCCTCATAAGAGGCAATTCTGTTGGGAATTGCTCTATCCCTAGTCACCTCTTCCTATGGGATGCTTACCTATTTTGCAGATCAGTCTAATTTCAAATTCAACTCTTTTCTTCAGCCTTCTTTAACCTAACGAATATCTAATATCACCAAGCTTCTTGTGGCCAGGAAATACAGAGTTTATGTAATAGACATCTGGGCAAAGTCAATTAACTGAAAGCAAATTTGGGAGAAAGTTAAAATGACATACCATGTGACTACCTTTTAATAACAAGAATGACAGTCATTTGTACTCAGATTCTACTTATTTCTGGTGATCAGACAAATTTTATATGTTGAAGGCCAGAAAGAGAATAAAGTAGGTAATGCACTTGCCTTGCACACAGCTGATAGAGGTTCAGTCCCCAGGTCCACATATGGTCCCCCAAGTCTCCCTAGGAATGATCCTTGTGCACAGACCAAAGAGGCCAGGAGTAAGCCCTGGAGTAAGTTTTTGGGTGTCACCAAAAAACAAACCAAAAAAATCAAATATGTTGGATGCATTTGTAAGATGAGATGCTGAAATCAAGAATGAAGAAGTCAAGAAATTTTTCTATCATGACATTTATAGTAATATGGAGGCAAGCGTGTGACTATGAATTAGATGGGAGGGATTCAACAGATTGCAAAGGCTGAGAATGACCCATCATTCTGACCCTTTATTTTGGTCAGCAGGTTTTGGCACACTGAACAAAATAACATCATGTGCTATAAAGGTGTATTAAAGCCAACCCCACTAACTTATTTTGGGGACATGGGACTTTTTTTTCATCTTCTAGAAGGAAAGAAATGCATCCCCATAAAATGAATAATGTACATTAGATTTCAATGGACACGCAATCTACTTGAAAATGTATCTTCCTAGCAATATACCTATAAAAGGGGATGCTCTATATTCACTAATTAGCTCTTTATTCACATAGTTTCCCTCCTCCCTTACCACCAGTAACAGTCTGTCAGTCTAATTTAAATTAATACATTCTTGTAAAAGAAATTTTACTAATTCATCCTCCTTTATTCATTTGCCCTGTCATATAATTATAGAAACTTTACAATGTCTAAGGATATTTTAATACTTATTTTTTATCTTGTTCCAATTATTTAGTTGGCTTTGAACATGATGGACTTATGTCTTTCATTCTTTTTAAATTCAGTCTGAGAACATCCAGATAATGCTTTCCTGCCTCAGGTCTTCTTTTGCTCAGTTTTCTCACCGAGCCAATTCTCACCTGTATTTTCAGCTCCCATTATTTGTGAAAACACTCACCATTGACTGTCCATATGTCTGTCTCTAGTTCAAGTCCAATGGAGAACAAAAAAATTAAGTCTGAAACCCATTTCCATGTCATAATTCACTCACAGTTTGCATGAGTGTTGTCATCATCTTTATACATCTTCTCATTGATGTCTTAGTAAAGGTAGGAGTCCATTGCCCCAGCCAGGCTGACATACTGCATATGAAGCTAGATAGCCTTGATTTTATCCTTGCTGTCTGCTCAAAAGAGAAGACAGCCTGGAAATTGCAAGTCACCATTGTAGATGCTTGGCAGTCATTTACAAAACTATCACATCCTCTTAATTGATAAGAAGTAACTAAAAGATAGTAATTAAAAACAGTGACTCTAGGGAACTGGTATTTTAAGCAGTGGGTATTTAAAGATGAGACTCGTTTTATTTTAAAGAACATTCACTAATGCTCCGAGCAATAATTACACTGTAGAAAATGGTTCCATTTGGTTTGAAAGTTAAAGCCAGTTAGTAATAATATTCCACCAGCCCCCTTTCCTGAAGGATCCCAAAGCACTTTATTAAAAGCAATGACTGAAGCCTTGTTGTACTCCCCTAAAAAGACCTTGTCCGGGAGCCACCTGGCAAACACCGACCCCATCCTTGCCAGCAGATCGTGCCAGACAAGTGGAAAGAGGACTGGCCTCTCATTCATTGTTATCCTACCACACGAGTTTGCACCCTGGTAACTGTTGTGATTTTTCTCCCGAAGACAATTTTAGACAAGGAGGCATACCAGAAAACCCCAACTCCTTGGCCTCGTCTTATACTTCAAGTTCCACCCAAGAGGTACTCACTTTCTCTTGGAGATCCAGCAATTCAAGCTGTTAAGGGGTCTGCAATACATTTCAGCTTTCTGGCCACGTCACTAGCACACAGAATTCATTGGCTTCTTAAAATTGGCACTTGATAGAAAGATGACAGTTGTTCTATAGCTCTCTCCATTTTGCGTGTAGCAGCACAACAACAGAGAATTTAAGTCTCAGCATATTTATTTAACTCTAATATTCCAATTAGGATATTTCTAGATTAACAAGAAAATGCTGGGAGCATTAAAATATATTATCATTTTATAATAAATATTTTTCTAGATGAGTCTATGAAGCAACGCTGAAATGTTTATTGGGTTTTAACCCTAGTCATAACTTAAAAGGAAAACATTTTAGGATCTACTTGGAAAGCAATGATACCTCTTCACAGGTTGTAGGGTGAACAAAGGGAAAACTTGTTTCTTTACCGTACCTTCGAACACATGGCTTATGACTGTTAAGCTAAACTTCAATGCAGCCTTATAAACAACAGAAGTAGTGTATTTGAAACTATGTTGTACAGCTTGGAAACTTATTCTAAGATCTTAATTCAGAGTTTTTCTGAGGTGTTGAACTTTGCCATTAGCAAAAAGTATTTTTAGAAAAATCCATTGACTGTTTATGAAGTACTGATTTTGCCATATTTCTGGTCTCTGGTTTTCCACCACATCAGCATACAGTAGTGTTTTTCGGGGTTTGTTTTTGTTTTGTTTTGTTTGTGTGTGTGTGTGTGGTTGTTGTTTCAATTACTTCTGTCTTCATTAATAGTGAACTTGCAAGATGGTTATTGAAGAGGACAGTCGATTTTGTTTAACAATCGTACAGTGAGACTGAAAATATTTTATTGCGATAAAGGAAGTAGGAAGTTCATTATTATTTTAAATATTTTCTTAGGGCCTTTACCCTCCAGATAGACACTGTCTTCACTTTATACAAGCCAGTATTTAATTTAGTAGTACTTGTGAGGAAACTTTCAGTTAGTCATTTTTGCTCCTCTTCCTTCAGTCCCTTGACATGCAAGTCTGAATATGCTTCCAGAGTAACAGTCACCTGGTAGCTGCAGTCACCTAGTAGCTGACTGACAAAAGCTAAATCTGACACATTGTTAGGCTAAATCACTGAATTGTTGTTGTGTTACTTTTTACCTTGTGACAAACCAAATGTTTTGTGACATGTGGTGTATGTAGTCACAAGCATCAGTATGACATTTATGGGGGGAGGGGCGGGGGGGAAGAATTTTTTAACGTGTGTGGA